TGCCAAGAGACAGTTAGTAGTATTTACAAGTTGCCCTTAGAATTTTCCCAAGAGGTGGCTACTATTACTATGGCAGAACGTATAAAATGTGAGGTTCAGATCTTTAGCATACGTATGACATATGAGGATTTCTGAATAACATGGAATTGTAAGCCTATTCATCCCAACAATTGTGAGTTGTGTATAAAACTGAGTGTAAATACTCTTCCTCCCAATGTAACTATTTTAAGTTGATATCGATCTGATTATTTTTAAGAGAAATAATTTATTCTTAGAAAACAAATGTATCAAAAGATCAATGACTACCACAAAGCAAAGGCACCTAGGTTCTTATAAGACTGCAACAAAATATGCAGAAAATCATTTAAATAAAGATATATGTGGTGCAAAAATGAAAGTCATTGAACACATCATATATTGGTCCATTTTGTGGTAAAATGCTAAGCCATAAACAAATAAGCCTAAACATTTGTTAAGGCATATAAGCAGATTCAAAGCAACATTATTGCATATGAGATTCAAATATCAATGTTGCTTAACAATACCTTAAATAATTTTCCTTAATATGAAAAGGTAGAACTATTTTTAAAATTTTCATTAAAGAGCATCTTTTGTGCACAAAGGTTCAAGATTTCATACTTTCATTCACAGTTATTTACCGACATTTAGCCAAAAACTCAGCTATAAGGCCACACATGAGACTCCTAGCTCTGAAGAGCTAAATACATTTACATCTGAAGAGCTAAATATATCTGCTTTGGTTGGTCAATGAAAAAAATAGTTCTGGAATAGAATCCAGAAGGGAAAAAATAAAATAATTGCTAAAGGGACAAGTATACATGTATTTAGTAAGATTTTTTATTGTAACAGCTGAGAAATTTTAAAAACCTACTACTGATGGTATTAATTTTCTATCACCCAATCTTTGGGAAAATAGACCATGAAAAAAATATATACATATACAAGGGTACTTCAGAAAGTTCATGGAAAGATTCATATAATCTTTCAATTCTACTGTTCCATGAACTTTTTGAAGTATCTGTGTGTGTGTGTGTGTGTGTGTGTGTGTGTAAAATACATAAGAGTATTTGGCTTATAACTAATAAAACCAAGGCATTTTAGAAAACAAAAATTTACCAATAAAAATATGTCAGGCATTAATACAAACAAAAGAGTTCACAAACAGTAAGTAACTTAACAAGCAACACTATCCATGTTCTCAAATGCAGATTTCGAATACACCAGATTTCTTTTCTTGTTTGCACATTTACAGAACACAATTCCTGTGTGCAGTTTTTAGAGGTTCACTGTGAGTCCTCTAAAGGTTTCTTTATCATTTAATATTATAAATAATTACGTTCCTAGGCAGCAGTTCAAAGCTCAGTACAGCACTCGTACAACACCACAGGCAGGTCAGGTGACCTTTCTCCAATTCTCCTCTCTCTGGCGCTGAGGACAGACAAAGTGATATGTCTGTCATACGCCATTACCATTAGAACAGAATCTTGTTCTTTTATTACAACTGAACTCCGCCAGATTTCTCAGCAGGAATGCTAAGTGAAATCAATGTCTTGGATTTCCAGGCTGAGCTTGGAGGTCACAGCCACTCTATCATTTCTCAGCATTATCCTTTCTCTCGCGCACACACACTCCCCAAGCCTCCAACTGGCACACAGCAGATTGAAAACAGCATGCATCAGAGGACTCATGCTGTACAATTTTACAGTCTTTTGGAGCCCCCTCCTTTTGATTCCCCCTTCCATTTTTTTGCAAATTGCAAATAAGTTTTGTTTGTGTCCTTCTCTAGAGTTGTGAGTCAAAGGCAAAGGCACACCCAGGAGGAAGGGCAGTAAATAAAACTCAGAGAACGTGGTTGATTTTTGACAGCTGTCAATAAGATCATTATCCTTAAATCATCACCTGGATGTGACTTATCATTCCATTGTTCCAAACGGCAAATGTACTTTTAACTTAAACCATCAATTTGCTCTATGCCAGAAACATATTTAGACAACACAAAGCCCTTTAATAAAATAATTCCATTTTACAGTAAGATAGGTGTGAAAATTTCCCAATAAAACACAGAAAATACCCCCAAGACACTAATTGATTGTTTAAAAACATAAATATGATAATATATGATAGCTATTATACATGAATAAAATAGCCTTGTGAAGTCAAAATGTTTATTATGCTATGTATAAATGTCAAGTCCATGCTGCAAGAAAGTAAACTCATGTATTGTAATAGTCCTCTTTATTTACTGTTGGTCGTTATTTTTTGGGCACATTCTTCATTAAAATGACAAAGGTAATACTTATTGGTGTGTTTTTTTTTTAACTCACTACATTTTCTGCTAAGCTAAAACAAGCACATTTAAAAAATCTTTTCTGACAGTAAGAGTGGTTGTAGACAATGCAAGAGGACACTAAGCAAAGACAGGACATATTTTTATTAAACTGCTGTTACTTAAAAAGAGGTACTTTACAATAGTTGCAGATGGGAAAAAATATAATATCCATTTCTTTAAACTATATATAATGGAAAATTCCTAAAGGCTAATTTTCAAAAAGTTATTCAACTTAAATACAAATTATGAAATATATTTTTAAATTATGTATGATTATGGCTATAGAAATACAATATAATTTTTCACCAGTATTAAATAAATGAAAGTATATAAAATCATAGGCTGAGGCAGAATTTTAACATCACTGAAATAATCTCTTTTACACTAAGTCTATAGGATTCTATGAATATCATAAAGCAGTTTCTCAATTTTGACACAGCAAACCTTCAGTCAGCACTTTCCATGGTTTTCTATCATTGTAGTAACTGTTCAATAAACATTTGCATGGATGAATGAATGAATGGAAAAATAAACAGATGTGTCAACAGATGAGGTTGGTTGACAGCAAAAGCATCACGATTATTTGTATAAGTGACTTGGTGAGAAGATACTAATGATAAAAATTGTTATTCTAGGGGTAAGAAAAATATCTAGGGTTACCAAAAAATCTACCAGTCATTTAAAAGTGAACTACATACCCTAAAATCATAAAAGTGAAATGTCTTAATGTAAAGTAGCATTAAGAAATATGACATAAAATCACATTAATAAATCAAGGGAAAAACAGAAAGTAATGCCTCATAGAAGTATGTGTGTGTGAAAATGACTATGTTGCTACAGCTATTTATTTTACTCAAAGTTAGTTTGTTCACGCAATTCATTACAACTGCTAGTCCATGAAGACAACAAAATATCACTGCTTCAAAATTAAATTTTATTTAATAAATGCTATAATTATTACCAAGTTTCAAAAACTTACATGCTGCTGTGATTATAAAGAAAAGCAGACCAGGCCTTAGATATACATTAAACACAGAACATGCAAGCTCCATTAAACAGCTGAAATAGATCTTAAAAGTGACGTATGCATACTCCCTAATGTCACTGTAGTGTGTACAGCATTTTTCACTATATGTTTGTACATACTGCTGGTGAATCACGGTCTAAGGTCCTTGTTCAGGTTAATTCATAGTCCCAAATGTATTTCTCTCTTAATAATATGGGAAAGGACTTGGGAGTTCTGGGAAGATGGAGGCTGGAGTGTCCTTTCCCAGCTGAGTGACTGACCCCTTTTCCTTCCCCATTCACTCTCTGAAGTAACTCGATAACTGTGAAAGACATCCTGAGAGATTTGCAAGGGTACTGGAGAAAGGTTAAAACATACTTGTATTTTTCTCTTTCAATATGTTCTAATCCTTCTCTCTGTGTATTTCTTTCAACTGTTGTGACAATTCTTACCCTGTTACTCTTTAGACATTTCAACATGGAATTCACGGAATAGAGAACAGAAGCAATTTTCTAGGTAATGCAGCCAAAAAAAAAAAATGTTATTTTGGTGGTAAATTAACTGTGTCAGTTTTTACTTAACATTTTCTAAGATGGTCAAAATATTTGTGGTTATTTCCTTGAATAATTTCAGAGAACACCACTTCATGGTCACTCTTCTTACTTTCATAAAAAGTTTCATATATTCATACAACATCATTTAAGTAAGATGTAAATGAACATAAAAAAATTCAAATCAGTTTTTCTGCTTCTCCCTACTTTTAAGCGATGAGACATATATTATTTGAATCACCCCTGATCCTTTTCCATGTGTTCTCAGGAAATGTTTCTGTAGTTTGAAAAACAATTTCTAAACTGTCTTCAAACATGATTATTATCTTTATTTCTTTACATGATAATCTCATTAGATGGGTGATATATCCACAAGTATTCTATACTATACCACATTACAACAGTTACTGATTTCAACAAACAAGCAAACAAACAAAAGACCACTTTCCATCTGTCCTAATCCAACATATACTTTAAGGTCTATTTCACTGGCCCCTGCTTTAGAAATTCCTTGCCAGGATCTCTCACTGAGGGTAATCTCTTCCTCCTAATAACTTCCAATGCACTTTATCTGTAATTCTTTCCAGAATTTATTATTTTATATCACAGATTATGGTTATTTGGCTATTTTTATAAATACCTACTTTATAAGACTGTAAATTTTGGGGTACAGGATACCCATCTGATAAGTCTATGTATCATTCACATTTCCATTTCCTCCTATAGCTATCAACACATTTGTTGAATCAATGAATGACTAATTGTACGTATGTAAGTTTATATACACAACTATTGTTCCTAATAGACTCTTACCTCCTTGTACACTCAGAGTTTAGCTACTTGCTGGCATATAATAGACAATAAATACCACTGAATGAAACATAAAACTCTAAGTGGCAAGACAGGTAGTTTCTTCAAAAAGTGTACCTTGCTTTTGGGTGGTGGACTGTTTGTGCTCTTGTCTGTATGAATGCTGGTAGGAGATACAACACTGTTTATTCTCAGAGCTGGCATATGGGGAGAGGTGGGTCATGTGGGTGATTTGCCATCAGAGGTCTTGGGTTTAAGCTGATAGGTTCAGTGGCTGTGCCACTTCATCCTTGCTTTTGGGTGGTGGACTGTTTGTGCTCTTGTCTGTATGAATGCTGGTAGGAGATACAGCAGCACCAAGGTTGCCTTGGGGTATGCCTGGGAGCTTCCCTCCTGGAGATACCTGCATTGCAGCTAGCTGGGCAGCATATAACTGCTGCAGAGAAAGAGAGAGAGAGAGACTATCAATAATAAAATAAATGCACCTTTCAGAAAGTATCTACATTCAGATGTGGTATTTTTCTTATGGATATTTTGTTTAGTGCCATGGAATATTTTAAAAAAGAAGCTGTCACCTCAGCTTTTGTGACTTACTTCTCAGGAGAGAAATGACAAATGCCACATACAAGGGATCTCCGCTTTAGTATGTCCAGGGACTCAAAACAAATAACAGTCACCCATATTTACTCTTTTCCCATGTCTATGGAAGGCAAGCATAGCATATCATATCATTTGGTCAAGAGCATTTTTGCTCTACTTTAAATTTACAATTTGTTACAAAAGAATACAGCTTCATATACACAGTAATTTTCTTACTATCCATATTGGTTCAAGCCCTGTATACTCCTTTTCTTTCACTTGTTGAAATAAACACCTGTGGCAATTTTTCTGAGCATTAGGTGTATTGAAATGCAGAAAAGGCATTCAGAGGGAATGGAAGGAGAGTATTTAAAGAACATTATCTGATCAGTCTACCTACATTGATAAAAATTAACTGGATGCTTGCCAGAAGTTCACTTTACTTTATGATATATAAACATAGACAAATATCAAATTATCTCATGGATTAGGGTTTTAAGAATACTGTCTAAAACACACACTATTCCACTAAGCCATCACTTAATAACTCTTATTAAGTAACCAATAAAAATTCTTCAACAGGTTATTAATAAATTTAAAGAAAAATTTTACTGCGATGATGATAGCCATGTAGTATCCTAAAACAAGGAGGTTGCTTTAGATTCAAATAATCACATCAAACATTTAGATTAATACTCTTTTCACCTTCACTTAGCACTTTTCGAAAATTTTAAAAATTTGGATGAGGGAGCAGTTATTAAATTTCATAATGTGTGCATGCGTGTGTGCATACATATCCCAATTTCCTATTCCCCATTTGTCCTGAGATTCCGTAGATAGCTTTTACTACAGAAGCTAGAAATTCTATAATGAAGCAACTGATGTTAAAGAAAAAAGTTCTCAAGAAGATGTACTATGAAATAGTACTTAGGATTTTCTTAATTTTTTTTTTCTGAAAAGAAATTTCAAAGGATAAAATTGTCCAGGATAAGTCATAGATACTAAGTGGGGTCTCTGTATAAATGAAATAATGAAACTGAAGAAGTTCATATTTTCATAAAAATACATATACATTGTTCACAGTTTCCAGATACTATGACCTAATGGAAAACAGGATATTAAAATTATTGATAAAAATTATGGCTTATTTTTTATACAAAGTAATATAAGATATATTCCAGAGAAAGATTGAAACATCAGAGAAGTATATTTATATTATCAATAATTATTGTCCCCATAAGGCTTCCAATGTTGGAATAATTATATCATTTCTTAATAAAATTTAATTTCTTAATTTTGCATTACATAAAGAGTAAAAGGATATTCCACTTCAAATATGAAGACTTGGGAGTTTACTATTTTTTAAAAAACAGTCAGAACTGATCCATTTAACACACTTGTGTTAAAAACCTACGCATCATATTCCACAATTAGAAAAGTAGTTTCTTTCTGTCATCATCCAGAACTGTTTATGAAGTCATTAAGAAAATAACCAATTATCCTACAACATTACTTTGCATTAAAAGTATGCCCAGTAGAAAACATGTACTGCTACTGAATTTTAAAAATTTGTGTATTTTAACAAACGAGCTAGACAACTATATTACATTTTGTAAATTTCATATTGTATTCTATCTTGTGTCCTTGTCTTTGAAAATGATTCCACTGGGTATTACTACTAGAGGATAACAATTTTTATTACTGGTTTTGAATACACTCAACAATAGAATTACTATTAAAAATACAAGTATAAATACTCTGTAACACTTTTTTTTTAAATTTAAAGGTTGGAGATGGCACATACTTGAAACAAAAAACACACACAGTCTTCCCTCATTCAAATAAATGCATTAGTTTTACCCTTTTAAATAAGGAATTAAGGTTTATCTTAGTTAAATTATCCTAAAAAATACTTTTGAGTTTAAAAGGAGAAAACATTTATAAAAGAGATAGACCCATTTAGCCTTTTAAATAAGGAATTAAGGTTTATCTTAGTTAAATTATCCTAAAAAATACTTTTGAGTTTAAAAGGAGAAAACATTTATAAAAGAGATAGACCCATTTAGACTTACTAATATTGCTATAAGAACAGTATATCATCCACCTTGTTGGTATTTTTACAGAATACAAAGACTTAAAATAATTTGTGATAAAAATTTCCTAAGTCTACTATTCACTTAGAACATGGCTAACATTAGAGAGCTGTTCTTTTCCCCAGTTCCTCATTTCCCATCCCTTATATTTGGCCTTCTCTGTGCAAGGGGACAAATTTTAGAATTACTCTGCAAATTTTTTCAGTTTTCTACTATTTCCAGATTATTGTATTTTTCCACCAAAAATATTAAATTTTCCTGGTTCACCAAGGTATGGATGTAGGACCAGGAGATATCTACTTTCAACACATTTTAATCTCTGTCAAATATGTGTCCTTAAAATCTACATTATAGGGCTGATCCCATGGCTCACTTGGGAGAGTGCAGCGCTGGGAGCGCAGCGGTGCTGGGGGCGCCAAGGCCGTGGGTTCGGATCCTATATAGGGATGGCCAGTGCACTCACTGGCTGAGCACGGTGCAGGTGACACAAAGCCAAGGGTTACAATCCCCTTACCAGTCAAAAAAAAAAAAGAATGAAATACTCCCATTTGCAACAACATGGATGAACCTGGAGAAACTTATATTGAGTGAAACAAGCAAGGCACGAAGGGATAAATACCGCATGTGCTCACTCATATGTGGTAGCTAAGAGAGAAAGGAAGGCAGGAAAGAAAGACCACAGTAGTGCTGTGATCCAACAGAGGGAGAGAACATTCCTAGGGCTACAAACTGGAATGGAGGGAAGAGAGGGAGAGGGAAGGAGGCTGGGGGATAATTGGGAGTGGACAAAGGGTACAAAAGTAATTTCTGGTAATGGATATGCCCCTAGTATGGATCTGGCCCTCACATCATGGGCAGGAGGGGGGACAATTTTCTGTCCATTAAAATGTGTGTACTGACTGATTTGACTGATTTTAAAATAAGGAAGTCAACAAATGATTAATAGTTCCTTTCATTTATCACATACTCCTGAAACAAAATCAAGAATAACAACAGGTGTCACCACTGAGTGAGAACCATTGGTTGACCTCGTTGAGAAGAAAGGGGCATGGAATCTAGTGATGATTGGAAGGCCACCTGAAGTAGCAAGCATCCTGTGAACCTCATAACGCACTTACATTTAACATATACATAAGTATATACAAGGGCACTTCAAAAAGTTAGTGGAAAATGGAATTAAAAGATTATACAAATCTTTCTATGAACTTTTTAAAGTATCCGTGTGTGTTAAACAAAAATCTGGTTAACATCTTTCCTTAAAGGATAGTAGATAAAACCCAAAGTTAAGTACAAGGCCTTGTAGGAAAAGTGAAGGAAAGTGGTCAGTGCCCCTCAGATGTTCAGAATCGAGCATTTGATATAAATATGCATGTGTCCAGGTGTTCCTTGGTTATTGTCTGATGTAGATGCGCCTGGGCACCTAGGTGTTCCTGGGCTGTCTGACTTGCACCCAGGTCTCATGGGTTATGGACTTAAGTATAAAGGATGATTGGCTCTGATCCACAGTGCCCCCTGCATCTGGAATGCCCTGCGTGGGGGGAGGCCACTACTGCTGCAGCTGAGGAAGCTGAGGACTGAGCTTGTTATCATCTGCCAACAGCTCCCAGGATCTTTCTCAATTACCTGGCTCATGGACATGTGTCTGAGGCGTCTGGTAACCCAGCCAGCCATATGAGGGGTCTAGTGACCCAGTCTGTACAACAGGTTTGAAGGGTCTCCCTGTGAGCTTCCCTAACCCTAAAAATGCAGGTGTATTACAATAAATGCACTTTTATGAAAAACAGTTAAGTGGTGCTAAACACTAGAACTGAGAGATACTAAACATAAAAGGCTGAAGCTGAAAGAGAACACTCACTTCATTCGTCTAACCAGACTCACAGGTATTTTAGCCTTGTAGATTAACTTGACTCTTACTTTGAAACTAATGTGTTAGGGATTTGTTGTGATAACTAAAACTTCCCAACTCTGCAGAACATTTGTTTTTCCAGTCTTTGTTATTACTTAAAATGTTGCATTCATAGTCCTTTCACTTCCCCAGTCCCTGTACCTCCTTTAGACAATGCTCTTTCCTTTTTTTTTTTTAAGGGAACAATTACATATCCTTAGATTAGGGTGGAATCTATTCTTGATTATTTCATGTCTTCCTGGTGCTCATGTGTTCATCAGTATGTTTGTGTATGTATATATACATATCAGCAACTCTCACTTTTATCTCAAATTGTCCCATAACCGATTTTTGTCTCCTTAATATTTTAAGCTCCTTCAAGGACCATGGTTTCTACTTCTAGTGGAACAGTTAAAAAGTAAGAGCTCTGGACAAAGGCAGTCCTGGTCTAATCTGAGCTCTAAACCATGTGGCCTTAGGAAACTTCTCTGAGCTACAATTCCTTAATCTACAAACTCAGGGATAAATAAAACTGACCTTATAGGGTTACTGTGAAAAAGAAACTATATAATATGTAAAAAAACAAAAAAAAACAAAAAAAAAAAAACACATGGTAAAGAACACTTGATCGATAAATAAGAATTATAAGTATTAATGAAAGAAACTATATAATATGTAAAAAAACAAAAAAAACCAAAAAAAAAAAAAACACATGGTAAAGAACACTTGATCGATAAATAAGAATTATAAGTATTAATGAATTAATTACACCAAGTAAGAAACTAACTAGGTAACATATATGTGCTGACCCTGGACTGTGCTTGGTATAGTGGAGAAGACAGAAAACGTATAAACAGCTTCTGCCCTAAGTCAAGATTG